GTCAAATCACTTACAAACACATGCAGGCTCCACCTCCGCAACATTGCCAAGATACGTACCTTCCTTACCCCAGACACCACTAAACTACTCGTACACTCCCTGATTATCTCACGCCTTGACTACTGCAACTCTCTCCTCACCGGCCTACCCCAGTGCAAGCTCTCCCCGCTTCAGACCATCCTGAACTCAGCAGCTAGACTCATCCACCTCACCAACAGCTCCACCTCTGCCACCCCCCTCTGCCTCTCCCTCCACTGGCTCCCGATTGCCCAATGCATCAAATTTAACTTCTAACCCTGACCTACTAAGCCGTTCACAACACTGCCCCTGACTACCTCACCAACCTGATCCCCAAGTACCTTCCTACCCGTACCCTTCGCTCCTCACAGGACCTCCTTCTATCCTGCTCCCTGGTCTCCTCCTCCCATGCACGACTACAAGACTTCTCCAGGGGTTCCCCCATCCTCTGGAACTCACTGCCCCAATCCATCAGACTGTTGCCTTCTCTCCTCACATTTAGGCGCAAAATCCATCTCTTCAGGGAAGCCTACCCCACCCTCACCTAACGGCCATTCTCTCTCATTCCTCCCACCACTTCATTCCCCTCAGCCACTTCCTACTGTACCACTACCCCCTCCCTCCTAGATTGTAAGCTCGAAAGAGTAGGGCCCTCTTACCCCTCGTACGTTGTTTGTTATTGTTGTACTGTTTCATGTATTGTCCCCCCTATATTGTACAGCGCTGAGCAAACCCTTTGGCACTATATAAACTCGATGTAATAATAATAATAATAACTGTCTGAACAGGGGGTACTAAGGGCTGACCATGGCCCTGGACTTGTATAGTACCCTGCAGTTCACTCCACATGATACCCCACATGCCAAGTGGAGAACCCATGAAGTATCCAGTGCTGAAGTGACATTTACGGACCAGCCCTGCATCTTCATCCAGACAGCGTCCTGGTATAGTCCACCAAGGATCAGCTGAGGAGGCAACTGACCTGAACGCTGTAGTGGCTATGGTGCAGCTAGGGATCTTGACAGAAGACTCATTCAGAGAAAAATGCTCCACAGAAAAAGAGGCAAGCTTATGTTTCTCTTAGTGGTCCATCACCTAAGGACACTCGCAAAAAACTGAGGCTAGCTAGCAGTGGGGGATGGGAGTGTTAAGGTAAATAGGCGATGTCCCTGCAGGTTTCTTTTTTTGCCAGTGTCCAATCACCTGAAAATAGCTGCATATATCCCATGGTTAAAGACTAAAGATCCCGTGTCCTGTACTGTATGATTAGGAGATAAGAGTTTCATTTATTTACATAAAATAGACACTTAATTTCAGAATTTGCCTGTTAAGAAAGCCAAGCAGTATAGAGAGCATTACAGAGCTGTAGGCTCACTCCACTGACCGCGGTCTGACAGACTACTAAGCAATTCTTTGCTTCCAGCCCATAGCAACCTGTTAAATGCAAACACAATCAAGCACAGCTTAGTGCTGTCTGCTGCCCAGCAAGTTTCGTGGCATTATCTGCGTGATTTCCAGTCTGAGGGTCTGAAAAGCTTTAAGAAAAAATACATGTAATTAGATTACACGTAACTCAATTTGAAATTCGTCACAACTCTAGGCACATTTTCAATTGTCATTGACTTACTGAAGTGTACTAACATCTTAACAAATAAAACCAAACCTTTCCATTTCCCAGTCTCATTATAATTAGGACCTTTTATATGTGAATGATTTGTGCCCAGTGAACCCCTTCTTACTTCAAGACAAGTAGTGCATCTAGAGTGGGGGGGGTCAGCAACCAGTAGATCGTGATCTACTGGGAGATCTTGGCCAGGTGACTGGAAGATCTCGGTCTGAGCTTGCTGACCCGCTATCCCAGAGAATCAAACACAGTGCAATGCAGAGGGACTACTAGCAAAGTTGGAGCTGTAGTAGGGAGCAGGAGCTGCATAAGTTGATGTCTCCACTGTAGTGCTGCTCCTAAACCCTGTCATGGATGGTGGGTGTAGCACCTGCCAAGCATGACCCTTTCACGTGTATGAGGCCACTCTGCAAGTGTTCTGCAACTGTGTGCAATACATCAAACAAGGCAAACAAAGGGTTAAACAGGCAGTGGTGTGTTGCTTTCTCACCACCTGCTTTAACCCCTTGGACCCTGCAGAAGCATGCAGTTGCAGTGCACTTGCAGAGTGGCCCCATTTACTTGAATGGGTCTTGACTGACAGGCGGTAGCACCTACAAGAAGCAACAGGGGGTGTAATGCCTGCTGCGGCATGTGTATACCTTTGGCTGCTGCCTCAACCACAGGGTTTTACCAACCCTCCCAACTTTACATGTGAACGAGCCCTCAATTGCCGCTGTCAGATGCAACTAAGGGCTCATTCACAAGTGCAGGAGACACTACTGCTCTTCTGCAAAGCGATCCGAGTGTGCAATGCATGCGATTGTGACACCATAGTACTGCAATTAGTGGATTAAATCAGGTGTGAGGAGGTGACACTGTCCGACACTGTGCCCGGTGATCTTTAACTTCTCCCATGTTGTTCAGGTAGATATCCACCTCTTTAAAGTTGCCTACTCCTGATCTAGAGAAACACCTGCTGCTTGATGTATAGCTTGGTCAATTTCTTCTAATTATTGACATCAATATCAAGCTTTCCTTCCGAACCTTCTCACCTACCTGGCCACTACAACTGCCACTGACAAAAGCACAGTTACCGCATGGTTATCCTATGTGTCCATGCACATTAAAATGTTTAGCAACATATTTTAACCTCAGCGTTTAGAGGCAGAAAAAAACCTCTTCTGGTTTGCATTTTTGAGAGCAGTTTTCTGGTAGAAAAAAAATGCTGAATGCTCCTAAACTCTCCTAGAAGATACTAAACTCTTGTACAAAACCGCTCTATATAAGCACTTTTTTTGCCAAGGGAACTGGAGTTGTTTTTTAAGCACAGTTTGTATGGACCCAAGGATGATTTAGGCTATAGGCAAACTTTTTCTGCAATTAAGAACTCTACTAACTATTAAATCAGGAAACAAACTATAATTCCCAGTACAACGCAAAAAAACCCAACCCCTTTTGTGTGTATATGTGGGTGGGCAGTATTGGTAATCTGAAATTAGTACATTTCCTTAAAGTTTTCCGTGTCTATGCTAACCATTTCATACCATATGCAAGTGTGCGTACAACTAAAACATTTTAGAGTAGGAAAGGGTTAATCCGCTGTCAGTTTATTTTCTTGCTGTGTCCCATAGGGGAGATTTCCCTTCACTTCCTGTCTTGAAAACACAACAGGAAATCTCTTCAAAGTAGCCACAAACTACTAAAACAAGAAACAAATTATAATCCCAGTGCAATTCAAAAAACCCAACCATTTGTATGTGTATGGGAGAAGAGGAGGGGAGCTAACGGGTCAGGATAGTACTGGAGTGAATATGCCAAACATTTTCTACCATATTGCACAGTGGTGCACTGAAATTAAAATTCTGGTGCCAAAACCAAAACCGAAAATTCAGGATGCACTTGGCCGAAAACCAAAACCAAAATGGACAGTCTTTAAAAATGTACATATATTTTTCAAACGCAATTTTTTTGAAAGAAATACACTTTAATGATTAAAAAAAACACAATATATATATACTCCAATTTGTGAAATATGAAAGATGATGTTATGCTGAGTAAATAGATACCCAACATGTCATGCTTTAAAATTGCTCATGCTCGTGGAGTGGCGTCAAACTACGGCACTTAAAAATCTCCATGGGTGACGCTTTAAACATGTCTACAGGTTACCAATTTAAAGTTCCAAGGTTAGTGCTAGAATTATTTCTCTTGCTCTGATGTTTCATGGTGATACCTCACAGTTCCAGAGGAGGTCTAGTGCTAGAATTATTTCTCTTGCTCTGACTTTCATGGTGATACCTCACATGTGTGGTATGAACACCGTTTACATATGTAGGCGTGGCCTACTTATATGTGTTGGCAGCACCACTACGCGCGAGCACGAGGAGACGGGGGCACTTTCACAAAACTTTTTCTATTTATTTATTTTTTTACACTGTCCCTCTTATTCCTGAATTATTACAAGGAATGCATACATCCCTTGTGATAGAAATAAGTAGTGACAGGTTCTCTTTATAGAGAGATATGGGATCAATAAGACCCCACATCTCTCCTCTGCAATGTAAAGTATTAGATCAAAAAAGCATTGATCTAGTGCTTTAAAAAAAGGTCTTAAGGCCTTGTTTACAAGGCGTCCGGAACTGGAAGTTGCTCCAGTCCTCCAAGGGTATAGAGATGAGTGGAGGCCATCTTTCCTTCACTTATCTCTATGCCCAGCTTCACCGGGATCGTTCAATGGTTTCTCAGGTAAACCACCAAGCAGTGGTGAGTGGCGGAGGGCGGGCGGTGGCAGGTGGCGACCCCACATCTCTCCTCTGCAATGTAAAGTATTAGATCAAAAAAGCATTGATCTAGTGCTTTAAAAAAAAAAATGGCCTTGTTTAAAAAAAGTTGGTCCTCCAAGGGTTGTTTGGAGGCCACACTCTCTATGCGCCCATGGTGGGGTTATTTTAGGCACCTGTATCGGTGCTTATTTTCATATCAGCCAAAGCCCGATAGGGTCAAACGTTTCGGCCACCGAAATTTCAGTGCATCGTTCCCAATATTACAGTATATGTATAGCCAAAACATTTCCTTAGTTTCTAACAGAGCAGGGAAGCATTGTCCATCTTAAATGGTTGTCACTGGAACAGGTACCCCCACTGAAAAATATACCCTCATCTCTTGCATTGTTATCACTTTCTGCCTAGGTGACAATGGTTACCAGAACAGAGACAGTGAATCTACCTAACAGTGATATCAACTGCAAAACAAACTTGACATAGGGTTCATGCTTTCCAAAACTAAAAATACACTATATTGCCAAAAGTATTGGGACACCCCTCCAAATCATTGGATTGAGGTGTTCCAATCACCTCCATGGCCACAGGTGTATAAAATGCAGACTGCTTCTACAAACATTTGTGAAAGAATGGGTCACTCTCAGGAGCTCAGTGAATTCAAGTGTCGTACTGTGATAGGTTGTCACCTGTGCAATAAGTCCATCTGTGAAATTTCCTTCCTACTAAATATTCCACAGTCAGCTGTTGGTGGTATTATAATAAAGTGGAAGCAACTGGAAACAACAGCAACTCAACCACGAAGTGGTAGGCCATGTAAAATGACAGAGTAGGGCCAGTGCATGCTGAAGCGCACAGTGTGCAGATGGCGTCAGCTATCTGCAGAGTCAATAGCTAAACATCTCCAAACTTCATGTAGCCTGCAGATTAGCACAACAGCAGTACATAGAGAGCTTCATAAAATGGTTTTCCACGGCCAAGCAGCTGCATCACCAAGTGCAATGCAAAGTGTTGGATGCAGTGGTGTAAAGCACGCCGCCACTGGACTCTAGAGCAGTGGAGACGTGTTCTCTGGAGTGAAGAATCACGCTTCTCTGTCTGGCAAGCGGATGGACGTGTCTGGGTTTGGCGGTTGCCAAGAGAATGATACTTGCCTGACTGCATTGTGCCAAGTGTAAAGTTTGGTGGAGGGGGGGGATTATGGTGCTGATTGTTTTTCAGGGGTTGGGCTTGGCCCCTTAATTTCATTGAAGGGAACTCTTAAGGCGTCAGAATACCAAGACATTTTGGACAATTTCATGCTCCTAACTTTGTGGGAACAGTTTGGGAATGGCCCCTACCTGTTCCAACATGACTGCACACCAGTGCACAACACAAGGTCCACAAAGACATGGATGAGTGAGTTTGGGGTGGAAGAACTTGACTGACCTGCACTCAACCAGATAGAACACCTTTGGGATGAATTAAAGTGAAGACTGCGAGCCAGGCCTTCTCATACAAAATGTGTGCCTGACCTCACAAATGTTATTCTGGAAGAATGGTCAAACATTCCCATAGACACACTCCTAAACCTTGTGGACAGCCTTCCCAGAAGAGTTGAAGCTGTTTTAGCTGCAAAGGGTGGGCCAACTCAATATTGAACCCTATGGACTAAGACTGGGATGACATTAAAGTTCATGTCCGCATAAAGGCAGGCATCCCAATACTTTTGGCAATATAGTGTAGCTTTGGCTGTTCATACATGATATACATTACACTTTAACAAAGAACTTAACTGAGAATTACAAAAAACATGTACTTTTGAATGAAGGTAGTTTTTATGTTTAGAAAAATTAACTTAGCTGTTGAACTGAAACAAGCAGACAGAGAAGAAGAGAATGGTTTTACTAGGCATGCCAGTGTCTTTTCCAAGTCCACTTATACATTTTTAAAGATTTCAATAAAATACAACACAAAATAAAAATGACAACACAATGGGGTCACCTTAAAGTGTCACAAAGTGCCATGTGAGTGCATGCCTGCCTCCCCAGTTCCCAGCTGCAACCCCAAAGTTACTTTTCTGAAGGTCAGTACTTACATATAGTTGGATGCACCCCTATCCCCATGTGACAGTGCTTGAGCTGGTGATAAGTCCCTTGGACACAAGCCCTGCAATGTGTGTTGAGGAGGAAGAAAGAACAAATTCACCAGCTGAGAGAAGCAGTTAGGCATACTACAGGTACTGTATAGATATAGATGTGGGCCGCATCACTTTGTGAAACACACAAAAATTGCTTTATAGTGAACCTACATCAAAGTGGGAAGAAAAATCTAAGTATATTGTCATGCTTTGATCAATGAATAAATAGTGAGAGACGGGCTGAAAATACCTCTTTGGGGAAAATGATGCTGCAGGTTCCCTTCTGTTTTTTTTTACATCAGCCAAAACATTTGGTCATGTGACCACTGTTGAAAAGGAGGATCAGAGTTCAGAATAGATGATTCTCCCCTTCAACAGACATTATTATTATTATTATTATTATACAGTATTTATATAGCGCCAAAGGGTTTGCTCAGCGCTGTACAATAGCAAGGGGGACAGAACATGAGACAAGACAGAAACAATACAATACACGAGGGGTTCGAGGGCCCTGCTCTTTCGAGCTTACAATCTAGGAGGGAGGGGGGAAAGTGGTACAGGAGGAAATGGCTGTGGGGGATGGAGTAGTGGGAGGAGTGGAGGAGGTCAATTGTTAGGCGAGGGTGGGGTAGGCTTCCCTGAAGAGGTGGGTTTTCAGGGTGCGCCTGAAGGTGAGGAGGGTAGGTGACAGTCGGATGGATTGGGGTAGGGAGTTCCAGAGGATGGGGGAAGTCCTGGAGAAATCTTGCAATCGGGCGTGTGAGGAGGAGACCAGGGAGCTAGAGAGTAGGAGGTCCTAAGAGGAGCGAAGGGCACGGGTAGGGTAGTATTTGGGTATCAGGTCGGTTAGGTAGTTTGGGGCGGCGTTGTGAATGACTTTGTAGGTCAGAGTTAGCAGTTTGAATTTGATGCGCTGGGCAATCGGGAGCCAGTGAAGGGACTGGCATAGGGGGGTGGCAGATGTGGAGCGGTTGGTGAGGTGGATGAGTCTAGCTGCTGAGTTCAGGATAGACTGGAGTGGGGATAGCGTTTGTTTGGGTAGGCCAGTGAGAAGGGAGTTGCAGTAGTCCAGGCGTGAGATGATGAGGGAGTGTACGATTTGTTTAGTAGTGTCTGGGTTGAGGAATGTGCATATCTTGGAGATGTTGCGGAGGTGGAGCCTGCATGATCTTGATAGTAATTGGACGTGAGGTAGGAAGGAAAGGTTTGAGTCCAGAGTGACACCCAGGACTTTGGCATGTGGGGTGGGAGTGATGGTGGCGTTGTTAGTAGTGATGGAGAGGATGGGGGGGCGCGCGGGGTGGGGGAAAGACCAGGAGCTCAGTTTTGGACAGGTTTAATTTGAGGAAATGGAGCGACATCCAGTCTGATAGGTCGTTCAGGAGGTGGGCGATGCGAGCGGAGAGTGAGAGGTGGGGGGTGGAGAGGTAAATTTGTGTGTCGTCGGCATAGAGGTGGTAATTGAAGCTGTGGGAGTGTATCAGTTTGCCAAGGGAGGAGGTGTAGATGGAGAAGAGGAGGGGTCCGAGGACAGAGCCTGGGGGGACTCCAACAGAGAGGGGAAGAGAGGGGGAGGTGGCAGTGTTATAGGTGACGCTGAAGGAGCGTTGGATAGGTAGGAGAACCAGGAGAGAGCAGCGTCCCTGATGCCAAGGGAGTGCAGTTTAGTAAGGAGGAGAGGATGGTCGACTGTGTCGAAGGCCGCGGAGAGGTCAAGGAGCAGGAGGACAGAGTAATGGCCATTAGCTTTGGCGGTTAGCAGGTCGTTGGTGATTTTAAGTAGGGCGGTTTCGGTGGAGTGCAGGGGACGGAAGCCAGACTGTAGGGGATCAAGGAGGTTGTTATCAGTGAGGTGGGCGCTTAGGCGATTGTAGGCCAGGCGCTCAAAGAGCTTGGAAGTGAATGGTAGCAGGGAGATGGGTCTAAGGTTGTTCAGGTCAGTGGGGTCAAGGAGGGTTTTTTGAGTATGGGGGTGATGTGCGCGTGCTTTAGAGGAGGGGGGGAAAGTGCCAGTGGAGAGGGAGAGATTGAAGATGTGGGTGAGGGAGCGAATGATGGGGGGGGGGGGGTGACTGGAGGAGCTGTGAGGGGATAGGGTACAGGGGGCAAGTGGTGAGGCGGGCTTCAGTGAAGACCTTAGAGACCTCCTCAGGGGTAGCTGGGCTGAAGGAGCGGAGCGTTGGGGAGGTGATAGTGTGCGGGGCGTTAGGCATAGTGGGGTCGCAGGAGGGGAGGGTTGAGGGGTTGATGGGGGGTTGATGGGGGGGGGGGGGGGCTGGGTGGAGAGGTAGAATGTGAGTTGACAATGTCCTTACGGATTGCGTCAATCTTGTTTTGGAAATGATTGGCAATCTCGTGGGCGGTGAGTGAGGTGCTGAGTGAAGGTGGGGGGGGGGAGAGCAGAGATTTGAAAGTGGAGAAGAGTTGGGGAGGACAGGTGGAGAGGGTGTTGATAAGGGTTACGAAATAGGCTTGCTTGGCGGCGTGGAGTGAGGTGGTGTAGGTGAGGAAGGCGGCTTTTTTAGAGGGAGAACGTGCAAGGAGATCTGGTTTGCGCCATAAGCACTCCAGCGCGTGACTGCGTCATTTGAGACATTTTGTATGGTCGTTTTGCCAGGGTTGAAGCGGTCGGGGTCTGGTGTGACGCGTGGTTAGGGGTGCCAGGGAGTCGAGGGCAGCCGACAGTGAGTCATTGTACACAGTAGTGGCCAGGTCAGGGCATGACAGAGGGAGAATACTGTCATATAGACGGTCAGCTGCCGGGTGGAGATGGGTCGGGCTCAGATTGCGGAGGTTGCGGGTGATGGTTAGACGCTTTGGGGGGGGGGGGGGGAGTTAAGGGAGGGGGAGATGGAGAATGTGAGGAGGTGGTGGTCAGAGAGGGGGAAGGGGGTGTTAGTGAAGTCGTGGGGGGTGCAGAGGTGGGAGAAAACGAGGTCCAGGGTGTTTCCATTGGTGTGGGAGGAGGACTGTGTGTGCTGTGTGAGCGCGAAGGAGGAGGTTAGGAGGAGGAGTTGGGAAGTAGCCAGGCTGTTGGCATTGATGGGATGCTGAAGTCCCCTAGGATGATGGTCGGTAGCTCGGAGGAGAGGAAGAAGGGAAGCCAGGCGGCAAAGTCGTCTAGGAAGAGGGTCGCTGATTGCCGCCATTACTAGTTAAAAAAAAAGCCCAGTATATATACCGCCATTCGTAAACGCTATAACCAATTAATTTACATGTATTGGGATTTTTTTTTTAGCAAAGACATGTTGCAGAATACATATTGGCCTAAATATATGACGACATTAGATTTTTAACATTTTTTTTACTCAACATGTTTAATAGCAAAAATTCAAAAATATTGTCCGCCTTTCTTTTTTATTGCACAAAAAATAAAAAAACACACAGGTGATCAAAAACCACCAAAAGAAAGCTCTATTGTTGGGGGAAAAAAAGGATGTAAATTTCATTTGGATACAGCATTGCATGACCGTGCAATTGTCAGTTGAAGTAACACAGCGCCGTAACACAAAAAATGGCCTGGTCAGGAAGGGGGGTAAATCCTCTGTGGAGGGCAAGTGGTTAAAGTAGGACCCCCCCAGCAAAAACTAAACATACAGTTTAACTGTGTGTTTAGCTGTTTGCCAAGAGATCCATTTAAACATTTAAATCCATTGCCTTCATTTTTTTCATATATATTGTATTGTATTTCCGTAAAAATAGAAACATTTCAACAGAAATCTTGTACAAAACAATACTTGAGCAAGTATACAATTTTTGCCAGGCATAAGAATAGAGAGGGGCATGAATTCCTCCAAGAGAAAGTACAGTCAGGTCCATAAATATTGGGACATCAACACAATTCTAACATTTTTGGCTCCATATACCACCACAATGGATTTGAAATGAAACGAACAAGATGTGCTTTAACTGCAGACTGTCAGCTTTAATTTG